GTTCGGAGCTAGCATAACTTCCAGGGTTTAGTGTTTGGGGCTCTCGATTTTTGGGGGTGGGCTGCACTTTAGGGCTTGGAGTTTGGGAGGTTCAGGGGCCACCCTAAACTTCAAACCCTAAACTCTAAAGACTTGGAGAAACGGGTGTCGTTGCACTGAAAAAAAGAAACCTAAAGACCATTGGGGTTCCACGTTCAGGACATTCAGGGTCTTAAGGCTTTCAAGTCCAGAGTCTAGAGGGCTCTAGAGCAATGCTTCTCGACCTCGCAGCCCTACAACCTAGACCCTGCTTGTTCGAGGCCATAAGAGACCCTTTACAACAAGAGAAACCCTAAACCCTAGACCCTGAACCCTACATCCATCGGTGTTCAGTTTGAAGCTTGAGGGCGAAGGGCAGGGCGAAGGGCTTAGATCCTAGGCCCTTTGCGACAAAGCTTGAACTTTTCATCGAGCTCAGGTACGAAGATGTGGAAACGGTCGCTGCGCCCTCGGCCAATGAATTTGCAGCGTCGTGATGGTCGTCATTGGCAGCGGCAGTGGTAGTAGATGTGACAGTCGTAACCGTCGTCGCGGTCGGCACAATCCTATTTCTTGCTATTTACGGCGCCTTAGTTTGCACGCCCGAGGCTCTTCGTGATGTCATGGCGGAGTTACAGAGTCAAGAGAGCCCAGGTGGATCGGATCTCGAGGTTTAGGGTTTAGGGTTTAGGGTTTGGGTTCTTGTTAAGGGATTTAACTTAAGTTACCATAATAGGGACTTATAGTAAATAATATGGTTTCCTTATTATGGTAACTTAAATTAAATCCCTTAACAAGAACCCGGTGGATGTCGAGTGTGGCGATTTTAATTTTGCACCCCGGGCTCCAACTCTTGATAAGGACTGTACCAGGCAGCATGGAGGCCTTCAAAAAAGGAGCCTCCTAACAAATCCTGAATACTGCAGCCCGTAAAGCCAGCGGGGGGTGTTAATCAGGGTTATGCATTGTGCCCCTAAACCCTAAACCCTAAACCCTAAACCCTAAACCCTAGTGTTGCTGGAGACTTAGGGGACGAAGGTGTCGACCGAGGATTCCGGGCCCGCCCTACCCTAAACCCTAAACCCCTAAATCTTCCACTAAACCCCTAAATTTAAATCTTCCACTTTAGGGTTTTTCTGGTGTTGGGCTTAGGGCTTCGAGTTTAGGGTCTGAAGTTTTAGGGTTAGGGCTCAGGGTAATGTCGAAGCCTAATTCGAGACCTATATATATATATATATATATATATTTTTTTTTGTTTTTTGTTTGGGTGGGGGGGGTCCTTATGATATGTATAGTATAATATACCCCAAAACTCTATTCTAATTCTTAAGGCCGCTACATTAATCGGCTCAGGATTTGGGGCTTCAGGTTTGGGGCTTCGGGTTCAGTCGGACTAGGGTTTCGGGTTTGGGATTTTGGGTTTAAGGTTTAGGTTCGGGGCTAAACTAACGGTTTAGGGTTCAGGGTTTAAGGTTTAGGTTTGGGGCTTAACTAACGGTTTAGGGTTCAGGGTTTGAGGTTTAGGTTTGGGGCTGAACTAACGGTTTAGGGTTTAGGGTTTAGGGTTTAGGTTTCTGCTGGATCGGGGTAGCCATCCGGTGGCAGGGTTGCATGAGTCTGACCCCACCTGTAGCCCCAAACCCTACAACAAATAGCAGACGCTAACCTCAGGGCTTCAAGGTAAAATGGTTTAGGGTTTAGGGTTTAGGGTTTAGGGCTAACCTCAGGGCTGATAACTCCGAAAAATGGTAGGCTATGCCCTCATGGCTACAAGAGAACCCTGAAACCGCCAGGCTAGAAGATCGGAGCTACGCCTGACACCCCAAAACCCTAAACCCTAAAACCCTAAACCCTAAACCCTAAACCCTAAACCCTAAAACCCTAAACCCTAAAACCCTAAACCCTAAACCCTAAGCCCTAGGGTTTTGGGCCCTAAGCCGAATGGCCAGGGCGCTATGCTGCAAGCGTGCCCCTCGAGAGGCAGCCCGGGACTACAGAGGTTGCATGAGGTTGCAAGCTTTGCTTAAGGGTTCAGGGTTTAGGGTTCAGGGTTTAGGGTTAGGGTTCAGGGTTTAGGGCCTGGGAGTTACGGTGCTTGGGGATGTATTCGGCATTCCAGGCTGAAGGTTTAGGTCAGAAATCTGAGCATGGAGGTCTTCAGTCCTTGAGTGCAAGCAATCCGGGGTGTCATGGCACTGCGTGTCGCGTAACTTTCCATGGAACCTTAACTGCTGCAGATAGGACCTAGATTGACTCGCCAAAGAGGATTACTCGTGAATGCAGAGTGTTCTGGCACGTCGGCCGCAAAGCAGGTAGGTTCTCCGTTTTGCCCAAAACCGAATCACAGGGACCTTCCCGAGTTGTCGGCACTGCTGAAACCCCAGGAGGAGGCCGGGTTTTGGGGGGTTTGGAGGCGGGCATGGGTGTAGGTTTTGGAGTCTTCAACTGAATCTGGAGTTGGGCTGAAGGAGTCCCTAAACCCTAAGCCCCTGAACCCTAAACCCTGAAACCCCTAAAGCCTAAACCCCTAAACCCTAGACCCTAGTGTTGAGTGTGTGTGTTTTTGGGGGGTGGGGCTTTGGGGCTTCAGCTATGAAGTTGGAGATAGAAGCTGTGCTGCCTCACCAAACTCTACGTGTGCGACACTTGACTATTATAGGGGCCTAACTAGTTACCTATACTATTGTCGGGATTCCTTATTGTAATTTTAGTATAATATACCCCAAGACCCTATTCAAATTATTAAGGCCTACATTAGATCAACTTAGCCCTAAGCCGGCTTTCAGGTGCTTTTGCCAGGGCCAGCCACCTCCCACATCTATTCTGGGATATTTTCAGGTGGGTAGTTACCGTTATGGGAGCCTTATTGAAGGTCTATATACCTTATGGAAGCCCTATATGCCCCAAACTCCCCACCTGTAGTTTCCTTGTATCCATGGAAGCTTGAGAAGGGAACTTTGACACGGGACCTTGTTGGGGTCCCTATGGTACAGAGGTTTAGGGTGTAGGGGTTTAGGGTTTACGGTTAAGGGTTTAGGGTGTAGGGGTTTAGGGGTTTGGGGGTATAGGGCTTAGGGGTTTAGGGGTTTAGGGGTTTAGGGTTTACGGGTTTAGGGGTTAGGGGTTTGGGGTTTAGGGTTTTGGTTGTAGGCATGCAGAGGGTTTAGCACTAGGTGGTAAGAGATTCCGAAGGGAAGTACCTATTCAAGCACCATGTAGAGCCTTCACATGAGAAAAAAACCTAAACTAGGCTCTGATTCGAAACTTCAGGTTCATTTCCAATAAATTACTATACAGAGGAACTCAATATCCCTATGATGGTCAATCTTACTTAAGGCTCCTTACATGAATCAGGTGCACGTGTTATCGCCCTCAAATCCCACAGCTATGCCTTAAAATCGCGTGCCCTAGAATTCGAAACGGACGGAGTGTGGGAACAGGTATCAAACCTGAAGCCCTACACCTGCAAGCCCCCCCCGCCTTTAGGGTGTAGGGTTTAGGGCCTTTTTTTAAGGTTTAGGGTTTAGGGCCCTTCCTCCCAAAGCCGAAACCGCGAATCCCTAACCTCAACCCTAAACCTTGAACCCTGAA